TGTTTAGGTGTCCTCGAAAGAACAAGAAACAAGCCACTCATATATAAACAAAAACGAAACAATTACAATGAAGTGACAAAAATAAAAGAAAGTTTTAAAATGAGGCACAAGAATGAATGACGATAAAATTGATATATTAAATGGCCATTTCTGGTAGGCACAGTTTCTTCCACAAGTCATCTTCTTCTGTCGTACTGTAGGTATCGGTATCTAATCGTGAATGGGAAAACTGAACTGCGATATGCCTTGGTTCCACATTTTCACCGAAAAAAAAGTTGATCTGGTGCACGGGATCTCGAAAAACATATTTTAAAGCAAGGACAGAGAGGATGAGGTGGGTCGAACTTGATCAAATTGCTCAGGTTCATAGTTGTTTTATGAGACTCTACGTTTGTAAAATCCCAAACTCATCAGCAATTACACAGCATCCCAGCAGTTCCATAAGGTTCTCGATGCGTCGTACGTGCTTTTTCGGGAGGCTGCAAAAGCACAGAGTGCTTGCGTAGAGGATGATTCGTATAATGCAGAAACTCATTAACGATTTCAGTACTTTTAGGCCAACGCAGAGCCTCTTCAGACGGCACATGATCGAATTGAGCCATCAGTATTGCCTCCCACTCATGGCATTCATCTGAGGTTTCCAGCTGAGGTCAAATCACACGACAAGTCAATTATTTCACGATGGTGACCTTCTTGAAACCAATGTTGGCAAACTGAAGAGTCGGTAGAGCAAGTTCAATCAGATTTCCGCTCGTAAACCCTCTAAGGTGAAAAACACTCAATAGATTTTATGGGATTCAGTGCTACGTTATTCTTTCGCATCGAGCCTCAGATTTTTTTTAGCTGAGGACAGGAAACTTTAGACATCAGGCGGGGACTTGATTAGGGCAAGAAGGACCATGTCGTCGGCGTACTTTACACGGCTGGTGGTAATGTTCAAAGCAGGAAGCTAGACGTGTAAAGAACGAATACAGCTGGTCGAAGGCGTGATCCCTGAGCTCCTTTTAAACAGAACGCTGATTTCTTGGTAAAGAGGTGAACAAACTGTAGAAAGCTGGAGTAGCATGAGGCAAGCAGATAGACAATACGAGGCACCTCTCCGATATCAGCCAACGTTCTAATCAGATTGGTTTATGATACAGCGTTGTGGGTAGAGCAGCAGTCACGAAAAACAGCACCCAGTGCCAGCTGCTTTCTCCTATGTCCAAGTTCCTTGCAATGGTGCTGACTACCACAGTCAAGGCATCGGTTATACAAAGTCCGTGTCTGTAGTCGAACAGCCAAGGGTCAATCTTCTCCAGTATCTTTGTTGGCACACAAGAAAGAGTGATCTTCCCTTGGCATTTGAAATCGACTGATGCTTCGGTAACTGGTCGCCAATCTGCTGCAGTCTTCAGCCCTCTTGATTCGATTTTAGAACGGAAGAAGACACAGTTCAACATATCCTAGCAACAGTGCATCGAAAATCTGGTTTCTAACTAATACTCAGGAGTCAAACGTCTCAATCCATACGGCAGGGTAGATCCGTTAACTGCCACATGGAGATTAAGAATAACATAATAGATGTCGAACAAGTCAAGCAATTTTATTTCATCATTTTCAATCCCTCTATTAGCCAATAAAGCAAACTATGAAAATCTCCTTTGCTTTTGGTGCTTTTGTTACCCTATTCAATATTTGGGTCGACGAGTAGTATCGTTAACATGGAAATCCGCCTGCATCTTTCCACCTCAGGCGGATTAGCACTGCTACGCGTCAACGAGATTTTTTTATGTGTAAAACCAAACAACTATGCTTGAATATTGTGAGGGATACTTTATCCACACCTAATAGAGGTCTGTCTAAAGACGACTACATCCTCTTTCCGGCACAGATACTCTCTGCAGAACCAGCCATTAGAGAACTGAAATTGGCTGTGATTCAGCAACTGACAGCATAATTTGTTCACTCCAATTACCGAAATTCTCTTGGGGTCCGAAATGCGGCAGGGTACCAGCAGGGAACCCTTATGAA